AGTGACAGGCAAATTTGATACCGAATGCCACTAACCATAAATATGTGACGGTACTGCAACAATTGACGTAAGTTATGGTCCGATGGATGCAACCTCGACCTGGACGAAACCCGGCTTGCTCCTCACGAATCTGCTTTTATGTTATTGGTGATTGTGCTACTTTTTGCGCTGATCACATGCTTTTTTCCAGCTGCTAAGAATAGATTGCTCCATCTGTGTTTCCTTTACTTTTGTGTATGGTTTTTATCCACCATGGTTGCATTTGTTCCTCAGAGGGCATTTGATGATGTTTGATTATTTTTAGCCTCGTCGATATGGATATTCCCGCTGATGACGTTCCTCTCGGGCTTGATATTAAAGTACAGTTCCATTTAAATTGACATACACCCTCCTTCCAGAGAGTAGGGCGAAAAGAGCGCAAGAAACCGCGGGATATTATTCACACTAAAGAAGTACTTCTTTCTGCCTATTCATTCGCTTTTACTCTGAGGGAAAACACTATAGATTGCTCCATGGAATCAAAGTTTCACGAACGCCGGCTACTGTCCCGAACGACATACCATTTCCAGCTACAACCTTTCAGAGTATCACTAGAACATATTCGAACTTCAACCATTTATTGCTAAGAAATTTGGCAGAGTTATCTTTCGTTCTGCCTACTCCTATCCAAGCTCAGTCTATTCCCATAATGCTTCAGGTAACGTTTGGCACTGTCCTATCTGCACTTTCATTTATTAATGTGATATTCTGTGATTGCGGGTCTTATTTATCATTTTATCCCATAGAAATTCATTCTACTGCTTTCCCGGAAGCGCACAAAAGTTACTGGTCCACGTATCAGTAACGAGACTGGATCTTAATGTGGTGCGACGGTTTGCGTACCTCGTTGACCCATTGAGCTATACTGGTTGATGCCTCCGGGCACCTTGAGAGCTACTCCTACCAGGTTGGTCAATGGTGAGAGGTCAGACAAACTCAGTCTCCTGGTCCTCCAGGTTGGGGGTTTGAAATAGGATGGCGTCCATTTCTGTAAAACTAAATCATTGCCACCTCCCTGCTGCCTTGCGGACAGGCTTTTGAGCCAAAGGATTTGGATGAGGACCCTAATCTTCCTCCTGTCTGGGCGCTCTGGCAGTATCTCAGCTCACATACAACCATGACATTTTCTTTAAACGTAAACTTCCTCCTGCATCGGTCGTCGCGCAGATTATCGTGGGTCGCCTACTCTGCTGCATACAGCAGGGCGGATAAGCGAAAACATGCTACTACTGGCGCCTCCCTTCTTTCTTTTCCACCTTTTTCTCTTACTCCCATCCCTACCCCCATTACTAACCTTCCTTCTATGATTCCCAGCTTAATTGACAGAAGCCGAAGCGCCACTGGAGTAGAATCATCTGCAGCCACCATCCCACCGCACCTATCGGACGCCTATCGGCAAAAGCCCCTTATAAGGCCACGCTATCCCGTTTCCTTGGAGACATACAACGTTCGCATTCCAAGGCAAACAAGTCAACAGGCTGCACTCGCACGCACCTTAGACACACTGGGTATTGATATGTGTTGTGTCCGAAACTAGGATCAATGACCCTAACGGGGTTATTGAATTAACTGCACCCGGCTTATCCTTTCGTTATTGGTTGCACGCATCCGGAGACGCCGATGCAGCACTCACGAGTCAAGCTGGTGTAGGTATCATTCTAAGCTCCAAGGCTGAGTTATCGTTGGTTGATTGGATTCCGGTGAACAGCCGTTTATGTGCAGCCCGTTTGACGACATCAGCTAAGGTTGATTCACGAAGTAGTACAAAACGCTGTTTGCTTGTGATTTCCGCTTATGCTCCCACCGACTGCAGTTCTAATGCTGTCAAGGACACATTCTATCACGAATTAAACGCGCTACTACGCAGTGCTACTAGTTCAGATATTCTAGTACTTGCAGGGGATATGAACGCACAAATAGGGTGTATGAGCTCTTCAGTAGCTCAGCTGGGTGGTAATAATGGGCTTAACTCCGAACGGACTGACAGCGATGAGCGTCTGCTGCAACTGTGTGCGGAGCACCAGTTGTTTTTTAGTAGCACTGCTTTTAGCCACAGTGGGTGCCGAAGTGCCACTTGGCGTCCTCCTGTAGCTGGCCAGCCATGGACCCAAATTGACCACATTGTCATAAGTTACAGATGGCGTGGTTCCACCCTGAATTGCCGCTCATACTGGAGTACCTGATCATGCCTTGGTACGTTGTCTTTTCTCCATGTACTTTACCGGGAGGCGCATTGAACGTCCCCTACGATTGGCAAGGGAGAATTTGTCTCAGTCCTCGGTCAGGCGAGCCTATCAAGAAGCACTGCATACCGAACTTTCGCTGTCTTGTCCTAATGACGCTGAGCTTCAGTGGAATAGGATCTCAGCCGCCATGCACGACGCAGAAGCACCTGCTTGTGACACTATCAATCGTCACCGCACCAGTCACTGGATATCCGAGAGGTCGATGAGACTGTTGGAATCTAGAAGACACCTCCCGGCTGGGTCTGAACACAATGTGACCAGACGGGCTATTAGGCGTGAACTAAAGCAGCGCCTGCGTGCTGACAAGGAAACCTGGTGGACCAGTCGGGCTCAAGAAATGGAGGAGGCAGGAGCAGTAGGCAATTACCGGAAGCTCTTCCAGCTAATCCGCACCACTGGTCCCAGAAAACCAGGCGTCAGTGAGACAATCAGAGACAGCGCGGGTGCGCTGGTACACAATAAGGAGCGCCGTATGGCTCGTTGGGCTGAACACTTTGAAGATCAGTTCAGCTGGCTCCCTGCTCCCGGACCTCTTCCTACTCAGGTAATGCAGGACGAGCCATGGACGGTTAGTTTAGAGCCTCCGTCGGAGGCCGAGGTCCAAAACGCGATTACAGCCCTCAATCGTTTTCGTGCCGCTGGCCATTATTCTCTCCCACATGTACTATTTAAGGATGGAGGTGAGGTCCTCTGCAAAGCGCTGACCTTCCCGTTCGAATGTATCTGGAAAGGTGACCCGGCTACTTGGAGCGAATCGATTATAGTGGCAATATACAAGAAAGGCAGTCGCGCTGACTGTTCTAACCCCAGGGGCATTAGCCTAACGCCAGTTGTGACAAAATTGTTGGCCTCGATTATCTTTCGTCGCCTCACTGCGGAACCGGAATCTCGGATTAGGAAGAAAAGGCTGATTTTCGCCCAGAACGTGGCTGTATAGACCATATATTCACTTTGCGGCAGGTGCTAGAGCAGCGCCACGCATACTGCAGACCGACAATAGCTGTGTTCCTCGATTTCATGAGTGTGTTCGATTCAGTCGATCGTTTCTGTACGAAATACTTGCGCGGAAAGGTGTTCCCACAAAATATGTGAACATCCTACGTGCTCTATACTTAAACACTGCAGGTCGCGTCAGGGTATACGATGTCCTATTGGATAGCTTTCCGACCACAAGTGGCGTTCGTCAGGTTTGTCCGATTTCCTCATTTTTGTCCGATTTCCTAGTGGATTCAATCATGCAGTGTTCTCTTGCGGAATCTCACAATGTAGGCGTTGAAGTGCTGCCTGGTGAAAGGTTAGTTGATCTAGATTATGCGGACGATATCGTCTTGCTTTTCGACGATGTTGGGGCGGTACAATCAACCCTGAATAGCTTGTCCAGAGTGGTCCCATTATTTGGTATGCACTTCGCACTTTCAAAGTGCAAAGTGTTACTGCAGGACTACCAGCCGCTTGGTGAACCATTGACGCTTGCTAACGAGGAACTCGAGGTGCTTGATCATTTCACTTATCTTGGCAGCTGCATCAGCAATGATGGGCGCATAAAAACTGACGTCAGCTCACGCGCTGCAAGAGCCAGAGCTGCATTCTTGAACCTGCGGCATCTTTGGCGACAGAAGGGAGTTTCTCTCCTGAAAGGCCGTGTATACAAGGTCACAGTAAAGGCGGTTCTGCTATGTGGTAGTGAGACTTGACCCCTTCGGTCTGAAGATCTGAGGCGCCTTCAAGTCTTTGATCATCGTTGTTTGCGAAGCATTGCTGGTGTCGGATGGCACCAGCGTGTGCTCAACGGTGATGTGCATAGGTGAGTACTAGGTAGTGATAAACATGCTAGCTCCCTAGAACAACAGATAGCACTGAATAAGTTGCGTTGGCTCGGGCACGTGCTACGTATGCCTGGTCACCGCTTACCTAGGAGGGCCTTGTTTAGTCTGCCAGGTGTAGGGTGGCGCGAGGCTCGCGGTGGACAGAAGTTGACTTGGCAGCCGGAAATGAAGTCACTGACGACCAAACTGGGTGCCGTTGGTTCGTCTCGCCTTTCGGGCTGGAGTCCACGTGACTCGCCTTGTGTTTGGCTCGAGACTTTACAGGACATGGCTCGCAACCGACACCAGTGGCGCGTCTGCTGCCTTCTCCTAATCGGATTGCCTGTTTAAAGTGTGTTTGGTGCTGAGTTATCTGTGGGGTAATGACTGATTATGACGCGTGGCAGTGAAAGCCGCAAGGAAGCTGTCTCGCCGATGCCGCCTTATCTTTGCACGATAGCCAGCTGTTTGTGACGGTATGTTGTCTACACAAGGTGTAGGCTCCTTGACCCTGAATGTTTGTTTAGGGCATTAAGATTTTCAGATAAGTTTCCCTTCTCTCCCTCTTCTTATTCTTTATTCCATAGGTCCTCATGGTTGTATGGCAGCGAAGCATCAGTTCAATGACTGATGTACTGCTGTTGATGATGATGATGCTGCTGCTGCTGCTGATGATAATGATCAGTAAGACATGTTAGCAAACGGTGCTTGTTATCTGACGTTAGGATTTACCTCACTTTTTTCCTCTCCATTTACCTTGCCATTTCTCTCCAATGTCCATTGACGTAATGCAAGCGGCACACAGCATGCATATTTTTCCACCGGCATCGATCTCGTTTACTCGGATTGGCTACCTGAATGACCTTTTCATTTGTTACTGGCAATGTGATCTATTTCCTGATGTCATTTTCACCGCTTTTCTATCAGGTTGTATGTTATGAGATCAACCTATGACGTCTGGTACAAAAGCCACGATTGGCATGTCTTGCGAGTGTCCCCGTGTCCCTTTGCTTAATGCGGCCTACCAACTTTGCTGTGGCATTGTTGTAACTTTATGATGTCCTTTTTCGTCAGGTTGCTGCTCGTTGTTGCTGTCTTCCACTCCACTACCTCGGTCATCCGATGTGGATGTGTGTGTAATATGCGACTCCCGTCGGAAGAAAAACGTATTCTTGTGAATGATGTCACATTCGTTTCGGTTTATTGCTTTGCAGCTAAATATGGTCATGCACCACAGCTCTGACTTTTCCTTTTTCTACTATATTTGTTTTATCTTGAATCACTTCATTTCGCGAATCACTTCGACGCGAATCAGGATAACTGAGTCTGCCGTGCTTCGGTTCTCCTATAACAGCTGACTAGCTGCATCGAGGAATTAGGTAATTACAAAAGTGTCCTATTTATTGCGTCTCACTTTCCGTTCGCTCTTGGAGTACGGCTCAGTGATTTTGATAGTTTTTCTCCTGCCCTCGATTGTCCAATGAAAAGTTTACCCTAATTTCCGTAGCCTAGATCTTGCCGTTGTCGCCGTCGTCACCATCACACCACGTCAATTACTTGTTCTGTCCGCCTACGCTTTCACCTCTCGCGTCTCTACTGCTTGTAAA